ACACATGGGACCGGGGGGGTCACATATGGGACCGGGGAGGTCGTACATGGGACCAGGAGGTCGTACATGGGACCAGGAGGTCGTACATGGGACCAGGAGGTCGTACATGGGACCAGGAGGTCGTACATGGGACCAGGAGGTCGTACATGGGAACAGGAGGTCGTACATGGGAACAGGAGGTCGTACATGGGAACAGGAGGTCGTACATGGGACCAGGACGGGGCCTGTGTGAGTTGCCTCCTGGTGTTTGGAGTCTCGGTAATCTCCAGCGGCAATGTCATGTGACCCGCCACTTTAATGGAACCTATTGTTGTGCACGCACACAGATGTGGACAGTGTTGTCACCCTATACCAGGAAGCATATGAAGGAGGACCATCTTGGCAGGATCACCAGAGATGATCCCAGTTACAGCTGCAGATTTACAGATAATTGAAAACGAATTTTGAAAATGACATTAACATGTTCAACATCAGAGACTGAACCTGAGCTGCTCTGAACACGGAAGCTACCCAATCAGCTGCGGGTCGGTTTCCCACCCCGCAGCTGACCATAAACAAAAGGGCTGGGATACATGTGCTGACATCATTGACCTTATATGGCCATATCAATTAAAGATAATGTGGCCATATAAGGTCAATGACATCACTGCACCCCGCCCCTTTCCTTACATTCAGGGAATTCCCCCGGCCACGGCTGACTGGGTGACAGATGGAGATTCCCTCCGGGTTTAGAGGAGCTCCTTCTGTGTCTGGAGGAGACCAGCTCTGGTCCGAACCTCAGCTCATCCCTATTCAACATTGATGAGGTTTCAAGCGTTTGGATTCCCGTCTACAACCGCGAGGTGGTACTTACTCAAGATGATGAACACGGTCTTCATCAAGTTGATCATGGTCTCCCGGTACTTGGGTTGGAACGACGTGTGCTTGGACATCCTCACCATCCTCCTCTTGACGTATATGAAGATATGCATGTACACCACCATCATAATCAGGAAGGCCACCAAGTTGGACACGGCCCAGAAGATGAGATAACTCCGACTGTAGAGAGGGGCCATCCGCGAGCAGCTCGTGAGATCGCAGACGCAGTGCCAGCCGAACGACGGGATGAGACCCAACAACAAGGCCGCCAGCCATATGCAGGCTATGAGGATGCAGACCCGCTGGTTGGACATCTTACTATGAAGCTGCATGGCAAACACCGTCTGGTGGCGCTCCACGGCTATGGCCAACAGATTGGCCACCGAGGCCGTCAGGCTAGTGTCCAGCAAGCTCTGGCGGAGCAGCCACGTTTTCACAGTCAGGGAGGCCGTCCGTGGCCCTGTGTGGAACATGAGGTACGTGTAGGCCACGCCGGCGAACAAATCGGCGGCGGCCAGGTTGCCTAGCAGGTAGTAGATAGGATAGTGGAAGCGTTTGTTGATTATAATGGCCGTGATGACCAACATGTTGGTCAAGATGACAAAAACGCACACGGTCAGCCCCAGGCCGACCACCAGAGCGTCCTTCGGCCTCCATACCGTCGACAGGTTCTTCCCGCTGTTGTTGTAGAAGAAGTCAATGCTTTTATTGAAGAAACAATGCGCCATCTTGACGGGCTCCAGGAATCCTGAAATAAAAAAGGTGAAAACGCTGGTAAAAATGACCGATAATCCGCCGAACATTCCAAACCCATTCCAATCATGCGGAAAATTAACCCCTTCATGGCCGAGGCTTTTTTTTCCCCTTTGGTTTTTGCACCCATGTTATAATCCACTGAGAGCTGTGACAAGATCGAGAAGTGAGCGAGCGCCGGTATGTGTTCGCTCACCTCCCGATCTACTGAGCCGACCTGTGACAGTCTCATTGTCACAGGTCGGCTTAGAACTATGAGGTGAGTGGAAATCAATCATGTCATAGTTCTCCTTTAAGGCCTGAAAACTTACTTAGAGGAGAACTATGGTTCGACGTCGGGATCCGCTTCGGTGTCTCAGTATATAGGGAGCTGTAGCTCTCTATATACTGAGCTTAGGGTGATGGGAGGACGCTAGTTTGTGTCCTCCCGTTACCCTAAGGAGAACTATGGGGTAAAACACTGACCCCATAGTTCTCCTTTAAAACCCCCCAAATATGATATAGTTTCTGAAAGCCGAGACCCTGTAGAATAAAATGGCGGCAGCTGCAGATTTTTTTGTTTGAACGATATTAACGCAGCCTCTTATCAAACCCCAAAGATTTTGTGGAAAATGCACTTAAGTTAAATTAATTGCCCGAAATACAATAAAATACCAATTTTTTTACATAAAATATAAAAGAGGAGGTTACAACGAGTAAATAGATACCCGACATGCCCGGGTTAAAAATGGTGTGCGTCTGTGAAAAGGCGACAATATTCAGTACCCCAAAAAGTCCATTTATAAGCCCCCTACAGGTCATCAGTTTAGAGATACGTGTAAATATTGGCCCCGGAATCATTGCTCTCAGTCCGGCGTGTGCGGCGATACCCAACATGTGAAGCGCGATGCTGGCTCCAACACTCCCAGTGCAGCCAGATTGGATCTGATCAGTTCAGGTGTCAGTGGCGCTGATCCAAAACGTCTCCATTTCATTTCTGTTACATTTTTGCATTGAAGCCTGCAGAGCATTGCTTTCACATGACTGCGAGTACGATGCACTGCCTCCCCCCCCCACCCCGGGCTCAGCCTGCATGTAGGTGTGAAGTGGCCCTGAACTACGTCGGTGATGGAGGAGGGATCGCTGGGAGTGCTCTCTACAAGTTCCGCCCACTGCGTCGATTAACTAACTTGTAGCAAAAGAATGTAAAGAGTAACAAAACTGGATGACTCCGCCCACTCACACAAAAATCGGGGTTCCCCCAGAGGATGCGCCCTATGATTCAGGGAAAGGGGGGAGGTTTGGGGGGTGGGATATGGGTCAGTGTTTCATTTTACACCCCAAATAAGTGTGTAAGCGCCGTTCACACTGCTGCTCCCTCTCCTTGTGCAGGGTGACTGGTCTAGTCTCCGCCCCCTCCTGTAATAAAGACCGCTCACTGCTGCTCTCTCTCCTTCTGCAGGGTGACTGGTCTTGTCTCCGCCCCCTCCTGTAATAAAGACCGCTCACTGCTGCCCTCTCTCCTTCTGCAGGGTGACTGGTCTTGTCTCCGCCCCCTCCTGTAATAAAGACCGCTCACTGCTGCCCTCTCTCCTTCTGCAGGGTGACTGGTCTTGTCTCCGCCCCCTTCATCAGGTTGCAGCGTCTCCTCTCCGGCTGGATCCGGTTTGGTTACAATGTAATCTTAATGAGACGACAATTAGGAGATAAGATTGCGAAGTCTTCAATTATAAAAAGCGAAAGGTGTCACCGGCCCTCCCCCGCACACGAGGACGATGACAGCGATTAGACGCTCATTTACTGACAGACGCCGTCACTCATTGGCAAAGCGCATGTCGGGGGGGCCGCGCCGGGTCCCCTTCGTCAGGCTCAGAGATGAGCGGGCCTGGCAGGGGCTCAGTGTGGAGTGCCGGTGACACCTTTCGTTTTCGGTCTACATGTGACGGCGCCACCCGCGTCTTCTTCTGGGAATCCCGCTAAGGAGTGCCGCCTTCAATTATCAGACGCGGCGGATTCCTCCGGACAATGCGCGTCCTTGTCGCAGCGAGCGTCCGCGCTGGGCTCCTGGATCTGACTCTCGTGTTAATAAAGAGCCGCGTTTGTTTCATCCGACCCGCCGGCGAATCACCTCCATCTATTTATATCACAACGATGACGACGACGACGACTGGGGAGATTTCCCGTCACTTCTCGTCCAACAGGAAAAACAGGAAGTACCTGTGTCCCATTGGGGAGATTTCCCGTCACTTCATGTCCAACAGGGAAAACAGGAAGTACCTGTGTCCCATTGGGGAGATTTCCCGTCACTTCATGTCAAATACCTACAACAGGAAATATATGTGCCCCACTGGGGAGATTTCCCTTCACTTCCTTTCCATGAGCCACAAAAGGAAGTATCTGTGTCCCATCGGGAAGATTTATCATCACTTCCTGTCCAATAGCCATAAAAGGAAATATCTGTGTCCCATTGGGGAGATTTCACGTCACTTCCTGTCCATGAGCCCAACGGGGGATACAGACCACAATGAAAACCTGACAGGGGATCTTATCCCTCTCCGCCACATCCAGAATAGGAAACACTTCCTGTCCAACAGCCACAAAAGGAAGTATCCGTGTCCCATTGGGGAGATTTCCCGTCACTTCCTGTACAATAGCCACAAAAGGAAGTATCTGTGTACCACTGAGGAGATTTCCCGTCACTTCCTGTCCAATAGCCACAAAAGGAAGTATCTGTGTACCACTGAGGAGATTTCTCATCACTTCCTGTCCAATAACCACAAAAGGAAGTATCTGTGTCCCATCGGGAAGATTTACCATCACTTCCTGTCCAATACCTACAACAGGAAAGATATGCGTGTCCCACTGGGAAGGTTTCCCTTCACATCCTGTCCAACAGGACAAATATACTTCCTTTTGTTGCTGTCAAACAGGAAGTGACAGCAAATCTCCCCAATAGGACACAGATACTTACTGTTGTGACTATAAGGGACATTTTCCATCACTTCCTGTATAACAGCTACAACAGGAAGTATCTGTGTCCCATGGGAAAGATTTTCTGTCACTTCCTGTCCAATAGCCACAACAGGAAGTGAGAAGAAATGCCTCCAAAGAGAGGGAAAACCCTGGTCAAGGTCACCAGAGCTAGTGTCCCCGTTGGAAGATTTCCCATCTAATTCTGTTCTGGTGACACCCATTCAGTGGTAACATTCACCAGGGTGAATAGAGAGGGTGAATCTCCCCAACGGGGACACAGGCAGCCATAAAAACCTGACAGGGGGTCTGATCCCTCTCCACACCATGCAAAACTAGAAAGAAAACCTGGGGCCCCTGGGGCTGGGGGAAGAGTCTGAAGGAGAACGCGCACTGCACCCAGCAGGCACTGATCACGGTTGCGATGCTCTGCAGCCTCTACTGCAAGAATGTAACAATTGCTCGTTTTTTATGTCACCAATCCGGGTGCAATGATTACATTTTATTCTGAAAAGGTGGACTGTGCCTTTAAGGGACGGGAGGGTGAAAAATCTGCACAAGGAAAGTCTGGTCACATGACCTGTCAAAGTCACGTGACTGCGCCCGCATCCGATCACAGACCAACCAAACTTTGGTGACATGCCAACTATACATTTTATATAACATGTTCCAGTTGCTCTTCTCCCCTCCCCCCCCCACCATGAGAAATGAACAGGAACGCTCACCAGATCCGATCCAAACCCCGGCCATACACCATACAATCCGATTGCGCAATCTCCCATAGATCTACCATCAACCATGTAGAAGAAGGGCCGGCCTGATGGGATACTCATTGAAAGCATTGTTTGGGTTTGTCCTTATATTACATAGTTTTGGTAAAGCTCAACACACATTACAATCCGATTGTACAACCTCCATCAGATCTGCCAACCAGTATGCAATGCAAGGGCCCGATTGGATATGAATTGGTTGGATAGTTCAGGTAGGTCCTCATATTACACTAAAGTCGATTGTAACATGTATGGTGACCCCCCCCCAAAGTGTGTTCCATGCAATGTAGATGCCCTGCGGGGGTCCATGAGAACCCCTCAGCTTTCCCCTCAGCTTTCCCCTAAGCAAGCCCAGCTACCAGAAGTCGCCCTCTGTCCCCCCCACCCGGGCTGTAGGCCGGCCCGTGCTGGTCGGCCATCGAGACTTCTGAAAGCTGGACAGTAAATGAAAGCTCAATCATACGACTAAACACCGAATCTGGGTGACCGTGGCCCCGGATGGAAAGTCTCGGTGTCCAGGGCCGGTCATGGGCCCTAATGGCTCATATGAGGGGTTACATGTCGGTGGCGGTCATTGATCTGAGCCAAGGTATAACACTCCGCACAACGCATGTATGGGGCAAGTTGCCCCACTGGTCACAACTGCAGATCCTGGCTGATGGCCTCCATGGATGAACCTTCAAGGGGCAATGATGGCCCCCGTGGATGAACCTTCAATGGGCAATGATGGCCCCCGTGGATGAACCTTCAATGGGCAATGATGGCCCCATGGATGAACCTTCAATGGGCAATGATGGTCCCCGTGGATGAACCTTCAATGGGCAATGATGGTCCCCATGGATGAACCTTCAATGGGCAATGATGGCCCCCGTGGATGAACCTTCAAGGGGCAATGATGGCCCCATGGATGAACCTTCAATGGGCAATGATGGCCCCCATGGATGAACCTTCAAGGGGCAATGATGGCCCCCATGGATGAACCTTCAATGGGCAATGATGGCCCCCATGGATGAACCTTCAATGGTCATATCGATAGGTCTGTGGCTACCATGAGATGACATCAAAAGGTCCAGTCCTGATCTAGTGTCACCTTTCAGAAGCTGCTCCCTTCACCTTCATACTCCGGCCCTTCCCAACCCAAGTCTATGGTCATGAGATGTTGTTCCCCATCTCACCTCTTCGTTATTCAAAGTCCGACTCCCATAAATCCAAGAAGACCCATCATCTCACCTCTGTAGACCGTGGCCCATGTCAGCCCGTAGATGCCCTCTGCTCC